ACAGGAGCTCACCCGTTAGCGAGAGAGAGAAGGGGGGCAATAAGAAACAGGAACAACGAGACGACCAACCCCCAGGAATTTACACACAGGCAAGGAAAGCAACAGGACTGGCAAATAGAGGAACAGAGCTTGAAGCACACACACTAGATAGCACAGCAATACAGAGGCAAACTAACATGAATGAGGGGGTGGGGAGGGATGACCGGAAGTGGATGAACCGCTGATCTCCAGGCACCCACACACGCACAAAGAAAACAACAGCAATTAGAGAGGAGAGGACAACTTTAGAAACAGCCCTTTTAAGAACTACACACCCGATGCTGATGGGCGGACCTATGACCCAATCCAGGGTCAAAGCGCAGAGGCAGCCAGCCACATAAAAATGGACTCCTGTTTTGTAGGTTAAACATTTGTGTTTATGATTTTATCCTGGTGATCACCTTATTTTACTTCACATTATGTGTATACCTGGGATTCGTGTTTTTGATACTATTAAGGACAATATATATATATATATATATATATATATATATATATATATATATATATATATATATATATATATGGCAAAGAATAAAATGAACACCAGGGTAAAGATAAAACCATAAAAGTTTAGTTAAAAAGCACCAAGCTTTCGCCGTCACCTGCCGGCATCCTCAGGGCTAGTGCTCCAGGAAGTGTGAGAGTCTTTTTATAGGTATGTCAGAGCCTGCACACGGCTCCTCGACCTCGTCACCGGGCCAGATTGATTCAATTGCACAAAGCTGGTCTGTTCTTTCCTGTTCCTTTCAGTTACGTGTCTCTCCTCGTCCATCCTACCTTCTTTTAACCCTGGGGTGAATGGATAAGAGTCTCTATTATTTCGGTGGTCTCTATGCTTTAGTTCCTTCCCCCCGGGTTCGGATGGCAATATATATTTCATGTTCTTTTCACAATCATCCTTTACCCAGTTGCTCCTTTTGCGGTGACTTTCTCTTTTGGCTTTAATGCTTTCACTTTCTACACAACTCTCATCCGGGTGATCTTGTAAGTTATTCCGAGTTGAATGTGACATAATGATGGTCTGAGGTTGGGAGTGGCAGCGTTAGAGCCTGCCGTACTTCGCATGGGAGTAGGGGAAGAAACTAAGAACTTGGTTAGGCAGCAAGTCACAGGTCTAGTCATGAGCCATAGGCGCTATCAAACGTTATCGACGAAAGAAAGAGTAGCCCTGAGCCAGCTTAAGAAAGATGACACTATTGTCATCCTCCCAGCCGATAAGGGGAGGGCAACTGTTGTCTTAGATAAAGAGGTGTATGTAAGTAAAGCCTTAGACTTACTTCAAGACGGTGCTGCCTATAGAGTAGTTAACAAAGATCCCTCCACTATGTTAAGGAACCGCACTAATAAACTTCTTGATGGCTTCAGACGTAATGGGAGGATGGGGGAGGACGTATTGAGAAGGGTACGCCCTGGCGATTCATTGCTTGCCAGATTTTATGGCTTACCGAAAATACATAAATCCAACGTCCCTCTCCGTCCCATTGTCGCATTTAGGGGCACACCCACTTTTGAACTTGCCAAGTGGCTGAGCATACACATTGGCCACTTGGCAAATGACAGCAATACCACTGTGAGATCGGCGGAAGAATTCCTCAGCAAAATTGGGACCCTGAGGGTGGAAGAAGATGAGCTTATGGTCTCCTTCGATGTGGTCTCCTTATTCACTTCCATCCCGCAAGAACTTGCGATTACGACCTTAAGAGACCGGTTAAATCAGGGAGACCAGAGGCAACACCAAGACTTCCTCCAGACGGAAGATCTTATAAAATTGATGGGAGTCTGCCTCAATACTTATTTCACCTTTCAGGGCACCATATATGAACAGATTAAAGGAACACCTATGGGGTCACCGGTCTCCAGTGTGATTGCAGAGGTAGTGCTCCAACAACTGGAACACATAGTGATGGCCCAATACCAACCAAAGTTTTGGGCCCGCTATGTGGACGACACGTTTGTTGTCATCAAGAGACGACACAAGACTGACTTTATGGGCATCTTGAATTCGGTATACCCAGACATCCAGTTCACTATGGAAGAGGAAAATCAGGGCAGTCTAGCGTTTCTAGATGTATTGGTACAGCGCCAATTGGACGGATGTCTGACTACCAAGGTATACCGGAAACCAACATACACGGACAGGATTCTCCATTTCCAGAGTAATCATCCGATGGCCCATAAAGTCAGCTGTGTCAGGACCCTGTTTAAATGTGTGGAGTCACATTGCAGCACTGCCAAAGCCAAGAGGGAAGAGAGAAACCACCTCTTCCAGGTATGCAAACGTAACGGGTACCCGGCTAAGTTTGTTAATCGAGTTAGTAAACCATCTGGACTCCGGAGTAACCCCACACCCCAAGAACCCACACCTCAGACAACCACACGGGTTACCCTCCCCTATATCCACAATGTCTCAGAGGCTACAGCAAGGATCTTGGCACCATATAATATACAAGTGGCCCATAGACCAAATCAAACACTGCGGGCGGCTATAATGCGCCCTAAGGACTCGCTCCCCAACATTGAAAGATCGGCAGCCGTCTATAAGATTGACTGTATGGACTGCCAGTGCAACTATGTTGGGGAGACAGCTAAACGAATTAAGACCAGAGTCCATGAACATAGGTTAGCAGTGAGAAGGGGGGATCAATACTCCCAGATATGGGCACACATGGCTGAATGGGACCATAGATTCAACTTCAATGAGATTAGCGTACTGGCGAGTGACAACACTAAGGGAGGCCGCCTACTTAGAGAGGCATGGCTCTCAGATAGCAATTCCATCAATCGACATGTTGACCTGTGCCCAGCTTATGTGGCTTTAAGATCGTGGAGTGCAAGTAATCAGCGGCAGCACCCCCGACAACCCAGTAACAACTTCAGCAGCATTAAAGAGGAAGAGTTAACCCCCCAACTGATCCGGAGTAATCCAAAGGAGGAAAGCCAACCGTGGAATATCCCTGTGATACCAGCAAGGGTGCCACAATCCCAAAAGACCAAAGGAACGGTGAAAATTAAGATCCAGAACCCCGATACCACGAATATCCGAGGTACTATGACTAATGTAAAGGAGGATATAACTAGTGAAAAGGGGGGAAGAATTTCTAAATACGATGGTCTATCCGTACATAGAAAGGAATGCACTAGCCGATTCAGAAAGGGAGGAAAGATCCCCCCGCTCGGCTAGGATAACCGGACTGGGGGAGTGGGAGTTGCAAAATGTAACTAGCGATAGACCCGGGAATACCATTGGGGAGAAAGAAAAGAATAGATCGGAATGGAGGGGAAGACGGAGGGGGGAGATTTGCGAGGTTGACGAGGTGCAAGAGACCGGACCATCACGCCCCCCATCTGTGAACCCCGAAGACCTCCGTGAGACTTGCGTAGACACCGGCAACGTAGGAAAGAAAAGGAAAATGGGAGAAAAGTACTGTAGCAACCAAGGGGAATGTAGTCTCGCTACCACTACCCCCCCCAGACCGGTTACCCGTAGCATGGCGTGCGCAAAACAGTGGGAATTGCAAAGTGTAACTAGCAATGGACCCGTGAATGCCATTGGGGAGAAAGAAAAGAATAGATCAGAACGAAGGGGAAGACGGAGGGGGGAGATTCGCGATGTGAATCCTGAAGATCTCCGTGAGATATGCGCAGACACCAGCAATGTAGGAAAGAAAAGGAAAACGGGAGAAAAATACTGGGGCAACCAAGGGGAATGTGATCTCGCTACCACTACCCCCCCCAGACCGGTTACCCATAGCATGGCTTGCGCAAAACAACTAAATACAACGACAGCTAGAAAACCGCCCCCCACACACACAATTAAACAACTTACCTCCCAACCTCAGACCATCATTATGTCACATTCAACTCGGAATAACTTACAAGATCACCCGGATGAGAGTTGTGTAGAAAGTGAAAGCATTAAAGCCAAAAGAGAAAGTCACCGCAAAAGGAGCAACTGGGTAAAGGATGATTGTGAAAAGAACATGAAATGTATATTGCCATCCGAACCCGGGGGGAAGGAACTAAAGCATAGAGACCACCGAAATAATGGAGACTCTTATCCATTCACCCCAGGGTTAAAAGAAGGTAGGATGGACGAGGAGAGACACGTAACTGAAAGGAACAGGAAAGAACAGACCAGCTTTGTGCAATTGAATCAATCTGGCCCGGTGACGAGGTCGAGGAGCCGCGCGCAGGCCCTGACATACCTATAAAAAGACTCTCACACTTCCTGGCGCACTAGCCCTGAGGATGCCGGCAGGTGACAGCGAAAGCTTGGCGCTTTTTAACTAAACTTTTATGGTTTTATCTTTACCCTGGTGTTCATTTTATTCTTTGCCATGAATATTCCCAGGGCTCATGTTTTTAATTTTCTTAATCATATATATATATATATATGTGTGTGTGTGTGTGTGTGTGTGTGTGTGTGTGTGTGTGTGTGTGTGTGTGTGTGTTATGTAACCAGTAGCTTTTCAGATAGGCCAAAAATACACCCATCAAGTCTGGATTTCAGTTAACTGGCTATTATGCCAGTAATCAGTAATCATGTAACATTAAGAATTGGTGACTTTTTTCATTTTGTTTTATATCATGTCTTTGTATATGCCTGAATGTAACAATTACATAGATTATTATAATCTATAATACATTGCAACGCTAAAAAGACAAACATATGCATGGATCATGGATTGTTTCATTAGATGTTTGTGATATAGTCCTGGAAGGAGGAATGTGTACATATGTGTCTGTGAGAAGGAGAGAGATAATTGCTTTTGTTTTGAATATCTGATTGATAATATGTAATAAAAAAAGTTTACCTATATATTGCTCTGAAAAGGGGTTTTCTTGAATTCTAATCATTATTTTGATTACAAATAGTTGATGGTGCTGCCTGATAAGCTTATACATTATATGTTCAAGATCCCCCAAAACAGTCTTCTTATATATGTCATTTCTTCAAGGAATTTGCTTCTGAGAAGGCAAGGACCATCACTACTGAGAATAAGTGGAAAGAGCAACTGCAGGCACAGAAACAAGAAATGTCTACTGTAGAAGCCCAAATGCAGACCAGTAAACAGCAATATAAAATGCAGATACAGCAGTTGCAAGAAAAGGTTGGGACTTTACTTATGTTTATTTCATATATTTGTTTTGGAGCTTATCAAAATATTGAATGAGAAAGCTAGATCATATATCACTTTATTTGAATCAGGCTTTTATTTTTATTTTATTTTTTTACAGAAAATATTGATCAATGCAAACCAAGGAAAGGTTCCATGAAGTTCATTTTTTCTGGCACTTGAGTTTCCTCCCTCTACTTTATTGCCTACCCTTTTCTTCTATAGTATTACAGCAACAAACATAGATAGAGGACATAGATTTGGTACATTAATAATCATGGGCATCCACAACCAGTCATTATGATACCATAGTGACAATATGTGTCATTTCACAGTGGAAACTCCACCCTTTTTACTTGTATTGTAGCATCATAGGCAAGTATGTAACAAGTGATGTTTGCATTGTAATAGTGTCATAGATTTCAATATTGTACTTAACTCCTTGCCTCTTATGAAATATTGTGGTAATTATGTTATATAGTATGGTGCTATGGCAAATGTAAAAACTTTCTGGGTGGCTCAGTGTTACTAAATCATTACAAAAGAAGCGAGGAAAGATCTAAATGATACATATCTTGTTTAAGCATGTAATGTTTAAAATGAACACTGGAACTGAACTGGGAGGCTGAGGGTTGTTAAATATGACATCAGTTTCATACTCTAGTATAAAAAACTGGCTACTCACCATGGACTGCAGAAATGTGTCTCTGAACCTCTTGGTAATGTGAGCAATGTAGTGAATAGCAAAACCAAAATCACATTTACCTGCTTGAAAAATGTGAAGACATAGAATGCTTTTAATTATACAGGTAGTCCTAGACTTACGAACATTTGTTTAGTGGCCGATCAGTTACAACAGTACTGAAAAAAGTGACTTTATTACTGTTTTTCACAGTTACGACCATTGCAGCATCCCCATGATCACATGATCAAAATTCAGACACTTGACAACTGACTGTATGTGTGACTGTTGCTGTGTCCTAGAGTCATGTGATCCCCTTTTGCGACCTTCTGATGAGCAAAATCGATGGAGAAGCCAGATTCATTTAACAGCCATGTGACTAATTTAACAACTATTGTAATTCACTTAACAACCGTGGCAAGGAAGATCATAAAATAGGGCAAAACTCATTTAACAAATGTTTTGCTTAGCAGCAGAAATTTGGGGCTGAATTGTGGTTGTAAGTCGAGGACTACCTGTACCTGGATTTATTTAAATAATACTTTGGAAACTCTGGTGGCACCATGATTAGAATGCAGTATTGCAGACTAACTCTGCCCACAGTCTGCAGTTCGAACCTGATGGGGCTCAAGGTTGGCTCAACCTTTCATCCTTCCAAGGTCGGTAAAATGAGGACCAAGATTGGTGGTGAGGGGCAATATGCTGACATTGTAGACTGCTCAGAGAGTGCTGTAAAGTACTGTGGAGCGGTATATAAGTCTACATGCTATTGCTATTGGGGAAAATTATTGATTACACTGGTTATAGTCAAGTCAAGCTCAGGCAAAATTAAAAAATAGGAGAAATGAGACTTAAGAAAAGAGAGTATTAATTAAAACAGTCCTACACAATCTCCCATATTTTTATTTTATTTATAAAATTTATTTCTACAGGATAACTCTGGGCAACTTACAACTTACAATCTGTCTGTCTGTCTGTCTGTCTGTCTGTCTGTCTATCTATCTATCTATCTATCTATCTATCTATCTATCTATCTATCTATCTATCTATCTATCTATCTATCTATCTAGAGCTAGAGCTAGAGCTAGAGCTAGAGCTAGAGCTATAAATAAGTTAATACTAATGCTAAAATCTGCCAAAATCCAATTACAGACGGGGAGGGTGGGGACAGGATGGAGAGGAGGTGGGTTTGTCATTACTTGATCAACCTTCTCCACTGTGATGCTCCCCCTTTGGTGTTCCAAGCTAACTGGCAGAGCCAGGTCTTTAGGCCCTTATGAAAGGTCAAGGGGATTGGGGCCGACCTCACTTCAGGGGGCAAGGTATTCTAGAAGGCATGTGCAATGGCAGAGAAGGCCCTTCTCCTGGACCCCACGAGCTAGAATAATTGAGTTGACAGGGCCCACAGCATGCCTCCTCTGCTGGCACGGGTGAGACAGGCCAATCCTAGTAGGATGAGACACTCCCTCAAATAGCCTGGACCCATGCCATAAAGGGCTTTAAAGATGATTACCAACACCTTGAATTGCACTTGGAAGCAAATTGGTAGCCAATGCAGCTCATGGAGCACAGGTGTTACATGGACCATTCACAGAGCCCCCAAAACTGCCTGTGCCGCTGCACTCTGCACCAACTGTAGCTTCTGAATGCTTTTCAAGGATAGCCCCATGTAGAGTGCATTACAATAGTCCAGCTGTAAGATTACTAGAGCCTGAATGACTGACACAGGGTTTCCCAATCCAGGAAAGGCCACACCTGACACACAACCTGAAGTTGTGCAAAGGCTGTCCTAGCTGTGACTGTCACCTGCTCTTTAAGCAGGACTCACAAGTCCAGGAGAAACCCCAAGTTGAGGACTGGATCTGTCTGGGATAGTGCCACCTCATCCAGAGTCAAAAATGAAAAGTCTTGGATCTCAGGGCCCTATGTATCCAAAGCAGTTCGATCTTGCCAAGGTTCAGTCAAAGCCTGTTGTCTCCCATCCAGGCTCCCACAGCCTCCAGGCACCGCAAGAGGGCAGCCATGGCATTACTTGGGTCACTAGCAGTGAAAATATAGAGTTGGGTATCATCAGTGTACTTCAGATACCTCAGCCTATGGTGACAGATGATCTTATCCAGCAGCTTCATGTAGATGTTGAAAAGGAGTGGAGAGAGTACTGAGCCCTGTGGCACGCCACAAGACAGCAGCCGAGGCTGGACCTCTCATCACTCACTATATGTTAGTATAAATAAATCTAATATTCCACGAACATTATTTTATATGTCTCACAATATACACAATCCAGTTAGTTTATGGGAATTGTTTTGAGATGGCCTTCAGTGTCCCATTTAATAATCAGAAATAGAAAGTAGATTATACCACAGATAATAAGAAAAATAACTAACCCTTGCAGGATATAGTTTCTCAAAGTACCTACCCAACTAAATAACCCCCAGGATGTCCAGATTTTCATTTTGTGTATTTTTTTTCAGATGCCTCCTGGACTTTGGCCAGAACAGAATAATGTTCTTGCCAGGGACAAAAAATAGAACAACCTGGGCATACCACTCTTTGGGTGCTAGTACCTGATCAGCAATTTTACTAGATTCTTGAGTACCCATTGGCCATAAAGAAAATACTTATCCCATTAAGATTGTGACACTCTTCCTATAGGTGCTGGTATAAGTGAAGAACTATTTGGGGCAAAGGTGATATTCACTAATTTGTTTTTTTTTATAATATTTTATTAATTTTCCAATTTTACATTTGAGTATTTAAAAAGCAAGTGGTGACTGGGTTAATCAGTAATTCAATAACAAAATCTTTAGTGCAAATCCCAGGTTACAACATCAAATATTTCTTCTCTTTTTCCTTTAACATTTACTATCTCATATTCAAACTAGTACATTTTTAATTATATCAATTCAATAAAAACATCATCATTACATTTATCAATACATTTTTGGCTTATATATATCTTAATTACATTCAATCTTCATAAACAATCCATATCATTATTTTTTACATAATTTTAAATTTCTCATCAATATTTCAGTTTAACCTTTGATATTCATAATTTTCAGACCTTGGGTAACCAAGACTTCCCTCATCTCACTTCATAACAAACTATAATATCCAAAATACACATTTTATCTATTTAAATATAATCTTATTCTATTTCCTAAAAGTTATCTATTTCCCACCATATTAAGTCATTTACTTAATAATACAATATCCCCTTTAATAAATCAAAACCATTATATATATTGTCTGGGTGTTATGGTTACGGCTAATGAAACACTTCAAAGAACTTCCAGGCATTGATTTTCCTAAAAGTCATTTATTATGTTACAAAATGTCGGCACGGTCTAGAAGGGATGCTAAGATCTAAAATTCCCACCCACCGAGCAGTATGTTGCTAGCATTTCCACTCCCTACTTTGCTGTCATGGTATATGTTCATCAATTAGCATGAAGGGCAAAGGTTCCCTTCCTTTTTGTTTCGCGGGCTTTTCCCTCCTCCCTCCTCTGCTCTGCATTAACTCTAAAAATACCAGACAGTTCTGCATATTTTGTCAAAGCAAGAGTATACAGTATTTGCAGCGTTGACATCTGGCCCCCCTTACAAGAAGGGCAGATCCTGTAGTGTAAACAAAAGCATATGTTAATGACTAGTTTTCGGTTTGTTGGGATGTTTCACATGAAACCTTTTGACCAATCTGTCAGCTTTCACTTCACTGGATTTCACCCAGGTCGCTTCAGACAATGGGTATACCTTCCATTGTACTAGGTACTGCAATTTCTCTTTAAAGATTCTAGAGTCAAGAATATGTTTCACTTCATAGTGGGTCTGTCCTGCAATTACGAGCGGCCCAGGTGCCTTCTTTGGGGGAGGTCTTAAAGTGGAGCTCCGATAAGGTTTCAACAAGCTGCAATGGAACACTGGGTGAATTCTCCCTAAAAGTCTAGGAAGTTTTAGTTCTACAGTGACCAGATTGATGATCCTTACTATGGGGAAAGGCCCCAAGAATTTTGGTCCCAATTTCTTGCTGGGCAATTTGAGACGTAGATATTTTGTTGACAAATAGACCTTTTCCCTAACTTGGAATGTTCTTTGGGGAGCCCTCTTTTTATCAGCCTGCTTTTTATAGGTTTCAAAAGTCTTCTTTAAAGCAGTTTTTGTGTTTCTCCAAACTTCATCCCACCCCCTCGCCCACTGGTCAAGTGTCTGGGAAGTGGAGGGCAACTGAGGATATTCAGGTATTGGGCTGAACTCTTTTCCTATGACCACTCTGAAAGGCGTGTAGCCGGTGCTGCTGAACCTCCCTCAT